TAGTATTATCTTTGTCGAGCCACCTTGGAAGATTGCGCCGTCATTCAAAATCTTTTGGATACATATGAATCAGCATCTAGCCAGAAAATCAGTATGTCAAAGTCGCCCATTTCTTTTAGCCTAAATACAATGGAGGAGTAACAAAATGCTATTGTCGAGTTTTTCGGGTTGGGAAGAGTTAGCCCCTATACTAAATATCTTGACCTTCGTTCCATTATTGGTTGAAGGAAAAAATATATTTGTGCACGACTTAAAAGAACGGGTGTGGAAAAAACTTCAAGTTTGGAAATGAAAGTTCTTCTCAATTGGAGGAAATGAAATCTTAATATTCATTTACGAATCAAGGAAATGGAGAAACTTCTTGTACTCTTATGGATGTGCTCGAAGGAGAGGAACATGAGTTTTTTAAAAAATCCTGTCGATTGTCTTTCCCAAATGATGCCTTTTTAGATGAATGCACAAAAAGTGATGAATACTGATGAACCTTCCTCCACAAACAGAAATTATATGGGTGTCTCCAGGAGCGAACTATTTTAAGCTTAATGTTGATGCAACTGTTTGTGAGGGAATTGAGTTTATCGGAGTTCAACTGCTGCTATGCGAAAGTGGTAATCTAAAATTCATCCATCTCAGCTCCGGATAGAGCTCCTTTTTTTTCTATTTCTTCCATATTAGCTTCATATACTTCCATTAGTTGTTATTTTATACGGCGCGAGGTGAATAATGTTGTTCATATGTAGTTTGGCTTCTAATTGTTGCGGAAAAAAATTCCCCATTGAACCAAGCATGAGAAGAAAATCACAAAAATGAGAACGAAAAAAACCAAGCATTAAATGTGGTTTGACAACTACAAAAGAAGAGACTTCAATAAATTTGAAAAAAAAAAAAAATCATTCAATACAACGTTTCCTTCACCTTCAACTTTTTCAAAGTTAGAAAGATTAACTTATCACGAAAAATGCGCATACCATTTTTTCTTACATTCTCTCTCTTTATCTCTTTAATCTCTCTCTCTCTTAACATATATCAATTGGCTGCTGAATTTCTTGTGTACGTGTGTCCATTGATCAATAATAGGTCTTCCACTTACAAGGAAGCACTTCACTTCTGACGTAGCGGAAGATTATAGGAAAGATGAACAACCTCACAAATATGAGATAAACTCACGAAAATTCTTATTCA